AGAAACCTGCGGTTGGGGGGGGGGGGAGAGCTGTGCCGCAGCAGGCTGGGGTGAGCAGTACGTGCCCCTCCGCCGCTCCAGGAGTAATTCAGGCTTGTGCCTCCCACCCCAGGCACGTTCCAACCCTTGTTTCCCCTGCTGTCCATGCCCCTCTGTTCCCATGAGCTGCAGAAACGTGACTTGCTGCTGACAGACTCTATTTTATCTTCAAGGTTTTTCAATCACAGAGGTGCAGAAAAAGCAGGCAATGCTGAACGCCAGCAAGCAGCACCACACTGGGAAGCCTAAGGGTGAGTCATTGCTGCACATACCATGGCTGCTAGACCACAGGGCAGAGCGGTGGGGGGGGGGGTAGAACATGGAATTCTCTCTTCTGCGTGACTGGTGGCTGAATTATTCCAGCTTCCTTTCAGGGCTTTGTTGTTTTTCTTGAAGCCTTAATTTGATGAGCAACTGCTGCTTGCAGTGCTGAGAGCTTCATTCTGTTTTTTTCACGGTTAGATAAAAAGGAAAAGTTGTAGAGAAGGTAGCAAAACAGATGGCGCTACTTGGGCTGAAGCAATCATTCCCAGCATGCAGAGCTATAGAAAGTTAAAACAGTCTGGTCAAAGATAAAAGAGCAGCAAATATACGCCATCAGTACGTTCCATCAGTGAGACCGAAGGCCATCGACAACGTCATATTCAGCATCTAAGATGCACCCAGTAGGCAACCATCTGAGTTTTTTAATCCCGCTGCAGGTTTTCAGAATTTTCCAAATCTTAATTTTTCCTTATTTAAAATTTTAGTCACTTTTTCCTTCTAATAAGAAGTGGCAAACGTTCTTTCTTGGTCATACAGACATTGTCCTTCTTGGTGTCTTCCAGAGTTATATCTTTTTCAGCTAAGAGTGCAGAGCTAAACACTGCAAAGAAAATCTGGTAACTATAAGCCATAATGTTGCATTAGCTCTCAGTTGGTAAATGGTAAAATATGTGGCTGGTAAAGCCATCTCCTATACATCAAATTTAGATTGACCAAGGAGACACAGCATTAAGACTGGAACCAGTGTCATAAAGAATTACTTTATCCAGGAGTCAGAAAAACAAAAGCAAGTGGCAGGCTTTTTTTTTTTTTTTTTTTAAATACACTGGCAAGGCTCAGACACGATGCTATTTTACCTAGTCCTTTGGTTCAGTGTAAATTTTTTTTTTGTTTGCTTGCTAAAAAAATGCTGTTTCACTGATGTGCAGAACAAGGTGCTGGTGAAATTAATTTCACTGATCAGTGCTAGTGACTTGCCATCTTCAGCTGCCTGTGCCTTTTCTCAGCGTAAGCTCTGTTTTTATATCTTTCTTATATATATTCTGTGTACAGGAATATATATA